AAAAAAAAAAAAAAAAAAAAAAAGAAATATCTATTATATTAAATGAAAAATTATGTTTCTATAGATTAAATGAACATGAAAATTCTACTTTTTTTAAATTTTGTTTATTTAATTTGTAAGTAATTATGTATAATGTTTTAAAATAATATAATTACATGAACGATTAAATCAGTATTAATATTCAGTGATGGTAATTGTGAAAACTCATTGTATTTCTTTAACTTTTTTAATTTTTATGGAATAAATAAAATTAACCGTTAAATATTTCAAAACGTTTAAATCCCGGTGACTCAATCCACGACTAACGGTGAAAACAATTTCATGCGATTTCGTGAGATTCACTTGAAAACGAATATTTTTTAACATTTTTACCTGTTGCTATTTTTGTGCTTCCATCCCCGACCTATCGCAAGGACTTCATCCGTGAAGCTGTATATACATTATCCCGTCCACCGTCGAACTTTAAAATCCTTGTAGGCGTTCTCACGTTGGTGTATGCTCAGGGCACAGTTTCCATGGCGATCAGCCACGGTGACCATGATTTCGATCTGACGTCATTGTTGTAAAGGACAACCACGTGCTGCAGACGTGCTATCGGTTAACGAGTTTTTCCTGTAACGATTTTTCACCGTTACGTCACGGGAAAATACAGTTGCGTAGGTTACACAAATGACGTTATTCAAATGAAAAAATTGCTTCATATAATTTTTTAATAACAATTGTGCAACACAAAAAAAACAATATTAATATAAATAATAAAAATGATATGAATTTAGTAAAGATAAATAAAGAATAAGTAGGTATTTAAATAATAGCGTTAATTTTGTTAAATATATATTATAAATAATATATAATATTATATAATATAATAAATATATTATAAATAGATTTAAAAAAATAATGCACTATGACTTGAAATAACGTAGAATGTAAATTAAAATATTAAATTATTTTTAATTTTCAATTTCATTGCTTCGCTTGAAAAAATATATATTTTGTGGAAATTATTTTTGAAAATATTGATATTTTTTACATCAATAAGTCATTCTAAGAGAAAGTTTGAAGGTTGACGACTTGACGAACAAATATTGCGTTGTGACATTATTATGTCGCAATAAATGACGACACTTTGACCGTCTTGAAAAGAAACAACTTTAAATTTTGTCGCAAATTTTTTGACGATGATTTTCTAAAAATTTATATATTTTTTAAAGATTTATTCGGTGCAATTTCAATTGTATCGATAGCGTATCGAAGAGATAAGATAATTTTCGATATTTATGAATATTCACGTAACTGCATCATATGAAAAAATTGAAAAATAAAATTGATAAAAAATTTTTTTACAATAAAATAGAATAAAATCATTTTGTTTGATTATCACGATTCTTTTCACATTTGTAAATATTTGAAAACAATATATGAAATTTATTCTTGAAGTTAATACGATGAACATTTTCCTTTGTTATCGTTCCGAATGTCATTCAGTCATACGTGATTCATTGAGATGACGTTTAATATTTACCGAGAGAAGAATATTTAATGATCTGAAAAGTATCGTAGTCAGAATTCCTTGTGTTATAAGCGTGGACTCGGAAGTAGGCCATGAACGTAGATCGAATTTGAAGTGGCTATGGTGAAACGGGATTATATGATGATATTTTTTTATGAAACCGTTGAAATATTAGTATTTTTAAAAATTATCATTGAATTTTTTTCATCTTTCATAAACATTACGGAAAAAAAATTAATTTTATGTTGTAATAAAATAATATATTAAATAAATTTAATTAATATTATAGAATTTGTTTAAATTAAATTATAATATTATTTATTAATGAATATAAAATAATTTTAGTGTATTTAAAGAATTAAGGGTTTATATAATTTAATATATTGTTAATTTACATAATAACATAATTAAATAGCTACATACATATGTATACATATGTGCATGCGAATTTTTTATAAGAATTTAATTTATATAATATTAAAAATGGCAAAAAATTTAGGAAATGATGACATCTAGCGGATATGAACAATTATTAAAAAAAACGCGATAATCGCATCGATCACAAAGCTACCTAACTTATCTTTAAAACAATGTAAATTAATTACTCTATAATTATATGAAATTGATAGTTATATAATTAGTCCTAAATATTATAAATATCTTTATTAATTAAAATAATTATCTTATTTTTCAATATGTTTTTTCGATTTGTCTATAGAGGGTGATACTAGTTCTTATAAGTAGAAAGGGAAAACTAATATGGCGTAATCCATTAATCTGTTGACCGGGTAACCTGTCGTGTTTTTTTATAAAAAAATTCAAAAAATTAAAAGTTTTGATTATTAAATTTTAAATAATTATAGGCAAGAAATGATGTCTTTTAGGAGTTTTATTGTTAGAAGTTTTTCAACGAGTTCTAATAAAATCGCTAACCTCGTTAAGGTACATATATGTATATTTTGATAACTTTTCTTTTAAATAAATGAAATTCATTATAATTTTATCATTTATTTATCTTTTATTCGTATATTATCTTCGTAATTTATCTGTGTTAAATTATACAATATAAATATTCTTAGAAATGGTATATCGAAAGTGCTGTTATCAGAAACACATATGATGTTGGTGATTCCACAAAGTGTTGAATGATTATAAATGAATGTCAACTATGATTTACAGAAAAACAAAGTTGTTGTGTTCATGAAAGGTGTTCCAGACAGCCCTAAATGTGGCTTTAGCAATGCTGTTGTACAAATATTGAGAATGCATAATGTTAAGTATGATGCTCATAACGTTCTTGAAGATGAACAACTCAGACAAGGTTAATAATCTTTAAAGTGCAAGTTACTGTATTTTTTAGAACTAAACTTTGAACATAATTTAATTAAATTTCTCTAATAAATGACTATTTATATATTTTTGTTTAGGTATTAAGGATTTTTCCAACTGGCCCACAATACCTCAAGTGTTTATAAATGGAGAATTCGTAGGTGGATGTGATATACTTTTAGAAATGCACAGAAATGGTGAGCTGATAGCTGAATTAAAGAAAGCAGGTATAACAAGTGCACTTTTAGAAGAAGATGAATCTCCAGAGAAGAAAACCAAAGATTGAGAATGCTTGATAATTTAGTGTTTATGTAATTTGTAAATAAAATATCGTTTATTCAAGAATAATTATTAAATTTTGTTATAATAAAAATTTTGTTGATTTATATACATTCATATAAATAAATAAAATTTATTTATTTCAAGAAAATATGGCAAAAGTTATGTCAAAAGATATTCAAATTATGATATCTCGCTGTTATAAAAATTGCTATTAGTTCTTACATGCCTTCTTTATATCGAAAGAAACAGCAATATACATATTTAAGAGTAAAAAGTGGATCAAGGTTACTCGTATATCGCAGCGCAGGAGCTTCCGTTTTGCGTGCATGTACATGCGTGACTATTTATTCTTCCGCATTGCGTTTCGTATTAATGTATATAAAATCTAATAAATCTTTAATATAAAAGATTTTTACAAAATTTTTATGAAAAGGAAAAACTATTATTTCAACATCTTTTATGTATCCTAAATTCTTTTTATATAATTTTAATTTTAATATATATAATTTCTCTTTATACATAATCTAATTACAATTTTATCAAGTTTTTCATCGTCTATATTCTTCAAATACGCAAGACTGCAAATTTATTATAATTTTCATTGTTCCTAAATACATGTATTTTATTTTATTTTTAACGTTATTATTTAATTTTTTTCTCTTCGATATATCAACTAGGATAAAATACTATAATAAAATACTAGAACAAATCAATGTTTTCGTGTATCGATGTTAAACGATAATAAATCAATCGTGAACTTTTTCGTTAACTTTACTTATGTTGCGTAGTAAAGCGTATATAAAAGTACATTTGGCCATCGGCCAATCGAATCTTCGAGAGTANTTTCATCCATACATAAGTGGCAAAAAATTGCGTAATTAATTTCATACAACT